TTTTGGCACCGGGGAAATTCCTCCAAATGAGAAAAAAACTCATCTTCTGCCACAGCAAAGTCACAAACAAACTCGGAACGACCAAAGACCCCGAATCTGTCACAACCTAAACGGTAGGGTACTGCAGGTGGGACACTTTCTCGCATTTTTTCTGATTCAGTGTCTCTCACTTAGGTTTGACAACTTTTTTAGTATGCGTCAATTGTGAACTTGGTCTGTTGTTTATCTCGAGCGGATAGGCGAGATAAGGATCGTAGGGGGGGATGAGCAAATAGGACGAGGACATCAATCGTAGGGGAGGGGTCTGCTCTCTCTCTCTCTCTCAATGTAACTGTATTTTTATGTTTTTCTTTTATCTTTTCTGTTCCTATTTCCTGTTGCATGCGTGTGTATGTACCATAGGTCTGTCAATCGTTGGTTTGAAATGAGTGACATTGGCAAAGTAGACAGTTTTGAAGATAGGCAAGTATGTAATGTACATTTAGGTAGTAGTGTGAACTATGTGACCTGAAAATCAGAGAGTTTTTGGGCAAGCTACTAAGGTCTGTGACTTGGACAGGGAGAAGTTCTTGTCAACTTACCTGTTTTTTTTTTTTTTTTTGCAGACACTCGTTTTTGGAATTTATCATAGTCTCTGACTGTTTTCCTGTTTGTTTGGGACAGTCACTGAAACTCACTCTCTCTCTCTCTCTCTCTCTCTCTCTCTCTCTCTCTCTCTCTCTCTCTCTCTCTCTCACACACACACACACACATACATATTTGGCCATATCCTCTTCCACGATTTGTTTTTTTCCTCCTACTTTTCCTTCTCTTCTTCCTCCTTGTTTAACCTTCTCCTCCTTGACCTCCTCCTTCCCATCTGCCCTTGCTTGGCCATCTTCTCGTCCTCCTCCTCCTGACAATCAACAATTTGTTTTTCGTTTTTTTTTTTTTACCTCGGGTCTACCTTATTGGACTTTCAAGTTTGCTGCCGAGTACAGTCCTGTTCATGGATGTAGGTAGAAAGGCAGCAGTGGGAGGTAAGCCACATGGCAACTTTGCGGCAGCGATGCCATGCATGCCAAATCCGGGGTCTTTTCTTATTTTGAGTGTCGGCTTTAAAGGGGGGGGCAAGGGGGGTATAAATTATTTTTAAAACGGGCTAAAGGGTTTTAAAGGGAGGTGACTTGGTGTGATTCGGTTATTTTCTTTTTTATCTTCAGTTTCGTGAGAAATTATGATGTGACCTTCTACGAAACATAATTGTATTGCAATTCTACACAACATATATGTTTCCCATATGTTTTGGATTTTTTTTTTTTTTTTTTTTTTTGGCGCTCAGGCTGCCCACGACATGCCCGGCGGTCATCACGGTCGGTCACCCAACCGTGTTTTCGGCCACAACGTGGGTGCCCAGGCGCCCGAGAAAATGACTTATCTTTTTTAGTCAATTTTTTTACCACCTTCTCAGTCCGGGTGCCCAGGGCGAGTGCCCTTCCCCCCCGGGCAGTGATGGTCGGGTAGGTGCCGCCAGGTAATCCTGGTAACACAGCCAAATTGTAGGTTTAAGCAGTCTTACAAACCTTTGGTTTTGGAGTACAAAATTCTTCTCATGCCCAGCAACAAGGCTTGACAGTCATTCCTATTCATAATTTGAGCATCCCGGCATTTGGCGATAGTTGCAGTCAAGTTGACCAATCTTGGCCAATGCCTCAAAATAATTTTAACTGGCCATTACCTAGGTGCAGATATAAGGTGGGCTCCGGGGCTGGGTATAGGGGTACAAAAGCATTTTTTGGAGAAGGAAAAAAACAACGGATCAGGGTCACACTTGATTTTACCCAAAAGGCAGAGAAAGGTACAACTTGAATTGTTGTGGATGTATCATTGTATCCAGTCGAGATTGCCATCAAGTTTTATACAGGAAGGCCGCCCCTCGCCTAAGCGGTCACCTTCTTCACCTTCAACAGCCAAAACGGACATATTATATTTTTTTAACGAAATCAAAACTGACTTTTTTTGCCAAAATCCGGTCGGAATTTTTTGCTCCTGGGGGTCCGGCGTTCCCAAAACGCCGG